TATGGTTCTTGAGATGTTCCTGGGGTCTTTGGAGACCATCTTAAGGGCTTTTGGGTGGACATTTTGGAGAACCCTTGACTTTTGGTGGGACCATCCCAAGTTTGAAGGTTCTTGAGATGTTCCTGAGGTCTTTGAAGACCATCTCAAGGATCTTTGGAGACCATCTCAAGGGCTTTTGGGTGGACATTTTGGAGAACCCTTGACTTTTGGTGGGACCATCCCAAGTTTGATGGTTCTTGAGATGTTCCTGGAGGTCTTTGAAGACCATCTCAAGGATCTTTGGAGACCATCTCAAGGGCTTTTGAGTGGACATTTTGGGTTGTCCTTGACTTTTGGTGGCACCACCCCAAGTTTGAAGGTTCTTGAGATGTTCCTCAAGCTCCATTCCTCCATTTCTGAAGAAGACAAGACCTCTTTTGGATTGTCCCACCACCACCCACCACCAACCCACCCACCACCATCACCTGGCGGCCAAGAAGAGGACACAACTGACAGCCAAGTAGGCCAGGAGCATGAAGAACCAAACAGCTGGTGAGAAGGGATCCAAGAAGGAGAAGTAACCCGGCTTGCGACCCTGGATGGTGGGACATCATGTGAGATCTTCTCCACCATGGTGACATCAACCTTCTAGAGGAGATCCCACCATGTTCTTTGGAGGGGAGAAGGTCTTCCCACCTCGTACCATGTGGACTCGGTAGAGGATGCTGATCCCCAAGGTCATGAAGGGTTTGGAGAAGTCAATGACCTTCTCACGTTCAGCCGTGATGGTGAAGGCGGCCACCGCGAGGTCGGCTTTCTAAAGAGGACACAGAGGACAATTGAAGGTCCACCAAGGGGTTGGAGATGTCACCTAAGAAGTTCTTGTGGTCGTAGAGATCTTCTGAAGGTCAGGTGGTGACTCAGGAGGTCACGACAAGACTCAAATGGTTCATAAATTGCTCCTGGAGACACCAAAAGATCCATGAACTTCTTCAGGAGACACCAAAACCCACCATGACCTTCTCCAGGAGACCCCAGAACCTTCATGACCTTCTCCAGGAGACCCTCAAACCTCCAAATCCTCCATAAATTCCTCCAGAAGACCCCAAGAACCCACCAAAACCTTCTCCAGGAGACCCCAAAACCTTCATAACCTTCTCCAGGAGAACCTCAAACCTCCAAATCCTCCATAAATTCCTCCAGCAGACCCCAAGAACCCACCAAAACCTTCTCCAGAAGAACCTGAAGAACCCACCAGGACTTGTCCCACCATCTTACCCGGTTGATGAGCTCGCCCACCATGCCGGTCCAGGAGCCGTTGGGTTCAGGAGCTCCATAAAGTCCATCTTCCACCAGTTTGATGTGGAAACGGAACTTGAGGAGCCCGGCCAACTCCTGGAGCATGTCCACGCAGAAGCCCTCGTAGCGTTCGGGGTCACCAACCCCACCCACACGCATCACGTAGGGGTTCTCCTGGAGGGGG